ATGAGCAAAGAGTACTACATATATCAGGAGCCACGACTTTATATGCAACATTGTCGACATATACTTCGATGTTAACAGGATATCTGAGAGAGAGAGCAAAATGAAAGTCTTGATAAGTAGGGCAGCAGGATCACAAGACTCCAAGGGGCATGCAATATTGCTTTAAGGAAGCAGGATACCCAGTTATGGCCCTTATTACACCCTGTACTATGTAAGCACTCTGGGCTCAGACGAGGGCTACTGGCATGTGTAGCTGGACTAGGGGAAAGACCAGGATTTGGGAGTTATTGGGCAAGGACGGAACAGGACTGAATGGAGAAATAACTTTCTACTTCTGTTCTTATATTCCAGGGGACAAAACTATGAGATGAGGGAAATTACAGGACGGGGTCCTGGGCACCACAATATATGGGGGATTTGGGGAAGCCAATGGCTGTGGAACTGGATCAGAAGTGCCCCTGGTAAAATTCTAGGAAGTTTAAAATATTTATATACATATAAGAGCTCTGAAACTTCAGAAATAAAACTGCGAAAGTCTTTTGACATTCAATGTTTAAATTCCCTTCAGGCTAGGACCAATGTGATAGAAAAATTTTCCCAGAAGTAAACATTCAATATCCCAATAAAAATATATATTTTTAAGGTTAAAAATTTCTGAGTGGTGATAGAGCATGAAAGTCCTCAAAGTGCAGAAAATAGGGAAAGTGCAATATCAGCATTTGCTCTGTTTGGTGGTAGTAGGCACTATAGCAGCAGTTAGTACCATTAAGTACCAATCACTGGTGACCTGGGTTCAAAAAGCCTTGTGTATGAGATATTATAAAAAGAGACAAGTATTGTTTCCCAGAGAATGAAGAAGATGAACTTGGAAACAGATAAAAACAAAGTATAGAAGCATACAGGCAATACCTTCATATAGTGTAATTTTCAGATGCAGAACACAAAAATAAATATCTCAATGTAGTAAATTAAAAACCAGTTTGAAGTAAAGCAGGGTTTGGCACCAAACAATTGGAATTTGAGGGACACATGAATTTTAGCAACAACAAATACATGACATATAAAAATAACAGCTCCATTGTCAAGGTATATCATTCACCCCTTACTTGGCCATCACTGGGACAGAATTTGCTCTTTCATTTTATGAAAGATTTTTATTCAAATGGAAAAAAATCCACAAGAACATGACATGGGATCCAAGGTTCTACATTTAGACTTCAGTTTCAACAACACTGAATAGGTCAACTAGTCCAAGATTTCTGAATGACTCATAATATAAATGTAGGCTTGAAAGGGAAACCAAAAATAAGTCTCTCATGAAGTAAAAGAGAAAATTGAAATTGTGAGTTAACTAAGGGAGTTAATTTTTGTTTACAAAGAGATGCAAGCACATAAAGTGAGGTTTTGATGAACAGGAGAAAAGGGCTTCCAAGATTTATTTATCAACATCCTAATTATACTTCCATGACTATGAGGAAAAAGAACATTTTGTAATTCCCTAAAACTAAGCCTTTGTGAATTGGACCTAGTTAAACAGTGACCTACTCTTCAGGAGCACTGTAACAATAGGCTACAATTGACCTGAGATCACATCCAAAGTCCCTCTGGTAGACACTGATGATGTCCCTCAGGGAATGCCCTCTCTTTCTCCTTTTCAGCAATAGTCCCCCTTGAGAAATGAAACCAAAATAATTCCCTGTCCCTATGTTAAGCAATACCACAACAAATCAATTTCCTGTTCTTGTGGTAAACTATGTTGGTGCTAGGCATCTTTCCTGTCCCTATACTATGCAACTGAAAGCAAACAACAATAAGTTGGCTACTGCCTCCAGGAAATGCATGCTCCTGGGAGGTAATAACTATAATAGCTTATTTAACAAAACTAATGATGAATTCATCAAGACTCACTTCAAGACCTTCATATTGCTATGCTCACTAATCCAAAGTTATCTATCCTATATAATAAAAGGCTAATATGCAAATTGTCCCCTTGACCAGGAGTTTGACCAGGGGTGGGGCCAGCCAGCCAACCGCCCGCTGTCCTTCCCCCTTGCCTGCCCTGCCCAATTGGCCCTGATGGGGTTGGCCAGCCAGACCCCATCTGTGCATGAATTCATGCACCAGGCCTCTAGTATATATATAAAAGCCTAAGTTACCATTATGACCAGACAGCCAGATGACTGACCAGTAGCTATGACACGCACTGACCACCAGGGGGCATATGCTCAACACAGAAGCTCCCCCCTGGTGGTCAGTGTGCTACCACAGCCAACCTCCCACAGCTGGCCAACCTCCCGTGGTGCTCCATCCCTGAGCCAGCCCTGATGGCCGGCCAGGCTGAGGGACCCCTCCCATGCACGAATTCGTGCACTGGGCTTCTAGTGATATTATAAACTGCAAATTCTAACTAGTTTCTCAGCTTGCAAGACTTACTTTAAAATCACCCAGTATGCTGGGCCAGCATAGCTCAGTGGTTGAGCACCAACCTATGAACTAGGGGCTCATGTTTCAATTCCCAGTCAGGGCCTATGTCCAGGTTTTGGGCTCAATTCCTAGTAGGGGGCATTCAGGAGGCAGTCAATGAATGATTCTCTCCAATCATTGATGTTTCCATCTCTCTCTCCCTCTCCCTTCCTCTCTAAAATCAATACAAAAATATTTTTTAAAAATTTTAAAGGCTCTAAAATTATAAATATCCTCACCTAATTACCCATTCTAGAATGCTATAAATGTAAAGATGATGTTCTTTCTTATGGCCTTAGGTCTAATAAACTTAGTTTTGCTTGATCAACAGGTTTTCAAGATCTTTAAGGGGATTGATGGCCAACAATCCACATGAACCTGAGTGTTTGAGTTACTATGAAGGAGTACTGCCACATGAATTATCTGATGATTTCCGTTGTGTTTGAACTGCTGATGGGGGCAGGGTTTTTGTGTAACAGTTAAGATGTTTTCTTACTTAAAATGAATCCTTTCACTCTGCCTACCTCTTGTCCTTTCCATCCATCTTAATTTGTCTGGGGACTAGACCTAGTCACAGGCTGAAGCACAAAGAATACAGTTTTACAGTTTACAGCTAACCTCTCTGATCATACCCACCCTGTACCAGAGAAAAATAGCCCTGGATACTGAGTGAGGAGTTGGAATCTAATCTTGGATATATCACTTATTAGTTGCTGAATCTTTAATAATGGACTTTTCTACATGTCTATTTTTTTTTAAATATATTTTATTGATTTTTTACAGAGAGGAAGGGAGAGAGATAGAGAGTTAGAAACATCTATGAGAGAGAAACACCGACCAGCTGCCTCCTGCACATCTCCCACTGGGGATGTGCCCGCAACCCAGGTACATGCCCTTGACCAGAATCGAACCCGGGACCTTTCAGTCCGCAGGCCGACGCTCTATCCACTGAGCCAAACTGGTTTCGGCTACATGTCTATTTCTTCACAAGGTAGTAATAGAGTCCACTTATGACATCCATAATTTTTAAATCAGATTAATTCTACATATTGCTTTATGTCTTATAAAGCCTACTTGCGTTATTTTATTTCAAATTCAAAAAATATACGTTAATGTCTCTAAATGAGGAAAATCAATGGTCTTGTAGGTTACATGACATCCAAGTTCATAAAGCTAGAAATAGTGAATCTACCAGTCAAATGACATATAACTTTTGAAGCCTTGAGATGCTAAACAGAATAAGGTGTTTTTTTAAAATAGTTACAGTTCCTTCCATTTTTAAGAACAGGCTCCCTCAGCATCTGGTATTTTCCTTGTGTCTAGATACTTAATAAGGTTTAAATGTTGCATGTCTACAGCAGTTCACTGTTTATAAAGCAATTTCTCGTTTGTTATTTCACCTAATTTTATCTTTATTTTGTCACACTGACGAAAACCATTCTTCCTTGGTAGAACCAAGCCACAGGTACTCACCTGGTAGGACAATACTTGCCCTTTTCTCTTGACTAGTAACTGGGTTATGAAAGCAGCAAGTGATAGGTCCATGGGTACTGTTTTTTATAAGAACGCTTGTCTTCAGGTGCAATAATCCAGCTCCATCCTCAGAGAAGGTTTTTGATGAGGCTGGAACTACATTCCCTCTGCTGTCTCTCCACTTCATCTGGGGTTGTGGGTACCACCCTCCTGAGTTACACTCCACCACGAGCCCTTTACTGTCAGGAGCATGAACATTAATCTGTATATCCAATCCTAGAGCTGGAGGAAGAGGGAGAATTGACATTAATTATTGGTGTGGACTCAAGAATAAAGAAGTAAATGTTCCTTTTCATTCTCTGTGGCTGGTAGAGTACACCATAAATTTAATGGTGATGACCACAAATAGGGCAGGGACGACCACCAAAGCTAGCAGGGCATCAAAGTATTAACCATGGAAGAGATGATTGACTTTATGAAAGTTAATTTTTGTTCAACAAAAGACAACATGTAGAAGGTAAAAAAAAAAAATGAAGCTACAGACTAGACAACATTTATAATATATCTGAGAAAGGAGTGAGTCCAGAATATTTTTTAAAATGCTATAAATAAATTAAGACAGACAAATGTCGTTTTTAAAATGGGCAAAAGATTTGAAGAGGTGTGAAATTACATATGTAGTAATTTGTTTAAATTATTAGAGCATTTCTTGCACACCAAAAGCTTGAAAGCACTTTGAATATTCTTTAATAAGGTATAGGTAAAACAATTTCTAAAGCATTCACACAATGGGAAACATTGCAACCACAGAATGAATAGAAAAAAATCATATAATAATATGAATTTCTTTCAGTTCGTTTTATTAAGAAAAAAAGCAAGTTGTAAAACAATGTATGTAGTATATTAGCATTTATTTAAAAAGAAGTTATAGATATATAAAAATTATATACAGATATACGTATATGTCTGTAGGTTTGTATATGCATGTACGTATGTATGTTTATGCATATTATGCATATAAATGTAAAATATCTCAAGAAGTAATAAGTAAGAAGTTAATCACATTAGTTTCCTGTGAGAGGTGAAATTCATAGCTGTAAATTGGAGTATATGGGAGACTTCACTATGCATTCTTTAAATTATTAAATTTTGAATCTTGATGTTTTTATTCAAAAGTAAATAACATTGAAAGAAGACAAAAAATAAAAAAATAAATAAACATTTCTACATCACAACCATAATCATTAATTTTTGTAGCAATACCATCTCATTAATAATCCAAAAAAATTAACTAATGAATTTTGACAAAAGTTATACAAGATCTTTATGGGTAAACATATCAAATTTAACTGAAATATAAATTGAACTAAAATTAAAAAGGCTGAGTAAATGTTGACTGATGTAATAAAGAAACATGACAAATCTCTCTAAACTAGTCTATATGTTCAATTCAATTTTAATCATAATTCCTAAGAGGATTTAACTTTGTAATTACAATTCAGACTATATGGGGCTAAAACAATTTTGGAGAAAGATAGCAAGATTGGAAGATATACCCTATCACAAACTAAGACACATCGCTGTAGTAATTTAAGAAAAGCAGTATTGCATTAGGTACAGATAATTAGATAATGATGACATAAAAAGTAATCATTATAAAAACTCATAAAAAGACCCATGAGGAGGTATGGACTTGGTAAATGACAGAATTACCTTATAATTTTTGGGAATAGTCAATAAATATATATTTTATTAGCTCATTAAAAGACACAAAGGTAAAATACATATAGATTAAGAATTAAATGTGAAAAGATAGCTTCAAAAATGCAAAACAAATATCTTCAAAAATGAGGATAAGAAGGAATTTCTCAAATGTGACACAAAAGATGAATTATAATTTGTAGACTATAAATTTGATATCAAAATTAAATCTACATAAAATAAGTTACCATACTTTTTTTAAAGGCAGTAGACTAAAAATTTTTGCAACATAAATAAAACTAAATTGTAATATCCAGAATAAAGAACAATTCCCACAAATTAAAACAAAATCAGAGAACTCAATAATAAAATGGGCAAAAATAATAAACAGGCAAGAATCAGAAAGAAAAAAAATAAGTCTCTAGTATATAACAAAGAAAACTTTATTATTATTAAGGAAAAATTAAACTAAAGTGAAAGTTTGCCCTGCCAGGTGTGGCTCAATAGATGAGCGTTGATCTAGGAACCAGGAAGTCATAGTTCGATTCCCAGTCAGGGCACATGCCCAGGTTTCAGGCTCAATCCCCAGTAGGGGGCATGCAGGAAGCAGCTGATTAATGATTATCTCTCATCATTGATGTTTATATCTCTCTTTCTCTCTCCCTTCCTCTCTAAAATCAATAAAAATATTTTTTAAACTTGCCAAAGTTTAAAAACATAATAATTTCAAGTATTGGTGTGGATGTAGCTTTTAAATGACTTGAGTCAAATATAAATTGATCCAATCATGTTGATGGGTAACTGCTAATAATTTGAAGATATTTGTACACAATGGCCTAGTAACTTAATTGCAACCTGTATATCCTAAAAGAACTCTTGGACATAAATATTACAGTCTAACATAAGAACAGAAATTTGTCTACTACGTACTTTAATGTCCATTGATATGGGAATACATAAATCAATAGTCATATATTTATGGGGTGGAATACTATACTGCAGTTAAAGAATGAACTGTACCCACTTGAATAAATACAATTGATATAAAAATAAAAAACTGAGTATAATCAGGTCAATAGAATATGCATAATGATACTGTTGTGCAAATTTAAAACACAAAACAATAATCCTCCTATCTAATAATAGACAAACATGGTAATTGACCATACCTTTGCTACTCTTCCCATTGACTAATCAGCAGGATATGCAAATTAACTGCCAACAAAGATGGTGGCCGGCAGCCACGCAGCTGAAGCAAACATTAGGCTTGCTTGCTCCAGTGATGGAGGAAGCCAAGGTTCCCCGCCTGCCACGGCCCAGCTCTGAGCTCCGGGAGCAACAATGTTTCAATTATAGAAGCTAAACAAACCCAGATACCTGCTTTCAGCCAGCCATGGCCTCAGAGCTGGAGCCAGACCTCAGAGCTGGAGCCGGCTCTCAGCACCAGTGACAGCTATAGAAGGTAAATAAATCCCAGAATTAAAAAGGAAAAAAGGAGAGGCTGGGAGCTTCAGTCGCCCACCAGCCTGAAAACGGCCCTCAGCCCCTCACCCAGACTGGCCAGGCACCCCAGTGGGGACCCCCACCCTGAAGGGGGTGTAACCAGCTGCAAACAGCCATCAGCCTGTCATCCAGGCTGGCCAGGCAACCAAGCGGGACCCCCACCCTGATCCAGGTCACCTTTCAGGGCAAACCAACCGGCCCCCCACCTGTGCACCAGGCCTGTATCCTATATAGTAAAAGGGTAATATGCAAACTGACCCTAACAGCAGAAAGACTGGGAATGACTGGTCACTATGACACACACTGACCACCAGGGGGCAGACGCTCAATGCAGGAGCTGCCCTCTGGTGGTCAGTGCGCTCTCACAGGGGGAGCTCTGCTCAGCCACAAGCCAGGCTGATGGCTGCCAGTACAGCGATGGTGGTGGGAGCCTCTCCTGCCTCCTCAGCAGCACTAAGGAGGTCTGACTGCAGCTTAGGTCTGCTCTCCGCTGGCAAGTGGACATCCCCCGAGGCTGCTGGGCTGCCAGAGGGATGTCTGATTGCCATCTTAGGCCCAATCCCCCGAGGATCAGGCCTAAGCCAGCAAGTGGGCATCCCCCGAGGGGTCCCAGACTGCGAGAGGGCACAGGCCAGGCTGAGGGACCCCCTCCCCCCGAGTGCACAAATTTTTGTGCACCGGGCCTCTAGTATTTTTATAAATGCCTTTGTGTAAACCAAAAGAGACAATGAGTTTAATGGTTACTTCTTGGAAAGGGAAAAAGTGAAGGGCATCATTGATGAGTACAAAGATGATGATAACTTGATCAGAAGTAAATATAATAAATTATTAACCAAGTATCTAGTTTATTACATTATTCTATGTATTTTTCTAGACATTATAAAAGTTATAGATTTTTTAAATGCCCTGAGACCTTTTCCTCATGGCCCAGAATCATGAATTCTGGATCATGGGTCCAGAGCAGCACTACCTAGGAAACCCAGAGATCATTCCTCTGCCCTTACCTGCTACCTTCAGATCCACGACGGCCTCTTCAGAGATGTCACCATCTTTAAAGAAACAGTGGTACTTCCCCTCATCAGTAATACTGACATTATGGATCCTGAGGGTCATTTTGCCCTCTCCCAGGGCATCCTTCAGGAGCACTGTGTGATTTGTATAGTTCTGAGTGCTTTTTCCAGAGAGTTTTTTCTCCTTCTTGTAAACGGAAATTGGCTGGTAGTGATCCCGATACCAGCCCACCTGCATATGTTCCGCACTCTCTGGTGGGGAAAGCTGGCAGCTGAGCTCAGTGTGCCCGCCTACCAGGACCACCTGGAGGCTCCTGGAGGTATGCACAGTGAACTGCTCTGTGAAGGAAGTCGGAGAACAAGGTTTTAGTGTGAAGGCCACAGAAATATGCTTCACCTAGACCCCTCTGCTCCAGACACACTGGCCTCTTTCTGGCTCTTGACGCCAAGTTCTTTCTGACTCTGAATTTGAGTCTCAGGAGTATCTTCACTCTGACATCCACACTCTGCCTCATTATTTCTCAGGTCCCAGCTTAAATGGCAACTCCTTAGATTTTGTTTGATTACCCATTTACCATCTCCCCTAGTCATACCTACACATGTCTTCATAGCACATACACTACCTGATATTGTTCATTTCTGTCTTTATTTTTTCTCATGACCCACTAATATGTAAGGCATGCGACAGCAGAGTTTTGTCTTATTCCTTTTTTAATTCTCTTCATTATCCTCAGTGCATAAAACACTGTCTGTGCCTACTAGGCACTCTGTAAATCCTTAGCAAAGGAATGGAAGATTCTCCCATTGTCTAGAGCTAGGATGTGAACCACTATTGCCCAACAACATCCTTTACTTATCAAACACACAACTGCTTTTTTCAGTATCCTTTTTGGTGGATTAAAGATGGCCACAAATTTTTTGATGTGCCTTCCATGAAGATAAAGGGTCTATGTCCCCTCCTCTTGAAACTGTATGTTTTGAGATTGCTTTGCTCAGTAGGATACGGCAGAAGATGACCTGCAATAACTTCTGAGCCTGTCTTAAGAAATTAGCAGCTCTCATTCTTTTAATTTATTTCCTTTATTATTTTTTAACACGCTTTCTGGAAGCCATGAACTGCCAAAATGAAGTCAACTCCCCTGAGTCCAGCATGACAGAAAGGCCACGTGTTGACATGCCATCTGACAATCCCAGCCTTCCAGCCTACTCCACCAAGTTCCAGACATGAATGAAACCACCTTGGGTTCTTCAGACCACCCTCCCCACCAGCTGAATACACCAAGTGACCTCGGTCTGTGTCACGTGGAACAGAAGAACGTGCTAGTCAGTATTCCTGACCCACGAACTGCGAAATGTAATGAAATGTTGGTTGTTTTAAATCATTCATTTGGGGGGTAACCTGTTATAAAGCTATAGGTGACTATCACACAGCTCCTCCCATACTCTGAGGTTTTGCTTCTTTCAACTACGCCAAATTCATTCCTGTCTCTGCTGACAATGTTTTCCTTCTCACCATAAGGAATCTGAGTTATCAGACCTAAGGTCTACTGCACTAAGAAAAATTTGTGCACAGTTTCAGTTCACACCATCTTCTTTACCTGAGGTTCTACTAAACTTACAATTCTAAACTAAACGTATAGTCACATAAATGATCGTGTTTTGTTCTTAAATATAAGGGGTATGTTCATTATGATTTGCCAGTGAGAATTCGAGCCTCCCAGGGGGAGATGGTAGACATTTATCCTTCTCATCTCCTAGGCACACCATTGAAGCACTGTGGATGGAGTTGGGGCTGAGAAAGATCCAGTCACTGAAATAACATTTCTTAATCACAAGTTGTTTGAAGCCTCATTTCTATCCTCAAAACTATAACAGAAAGGGTGGAACCAGAAAAACATCAGCGAGAAACCGTCCTCATTTTGTTCAGTGTTAGTTACCTCCATGATCTTTATCACTGTGACACACCATGAAAAAGAGTAGATATCCTTACCAGAGGTGAGCACCATCTGTAGGAGGAGAAAGGTCACAAAGCATCCAGATATACAGGAAAGTGGAGGCTCCATCACACCTGGAAAATGCAATAGCAATTGTGGGATCAGGCAGCAAGAATCAAAGTAACGAGAGAGAGAGAGAGAGAGAGAGTTTGATGTGCAACCAAATGATTTAGTCAAACCACAAATTCAGACCCATTGAGTTGCTCTCTTTCCTCCTTCTTTCCTGTGCTCTTACTGTGGCTCATTGCCTTCCTCAGATTAGTATTCTGAAGGGCAGCTGTGGTAGAAGAGAATATAAAGGTATACAGAACCCAGCTATGTTCATCTCCACACTCACACAGCCTCATCTGCCCCTTGGCCTGAGCCACTTGGTCAATGGAGAGCCCTGGCTGCTGCTTCTGATGTGGCCTCATTCCCTAAAGGGGGTATTCTGTGCCTTCTACTGTGGGGAATAGGCCAGCTTTAGAAAAACATTGACAAGATCACTGTAATGGGCAGGCTCTGACAAGCCTGAATCTCTGGGATTTCTGGCCTCACCCACTACTTCCACATTCAAAGGAAATGCCACATCAGCGGGGTGGGATCTAGACTTCTCAGTAGCTGCCCAGAAGGGCTAAGTCAAAACACTCAGATGTAAAGGGGGTATTGAAGCATAGTAACCTCTATCTTGTAAAAAAAAACCTGCTGTTTGAAATTCTCTGCTATTGTTAGATAGTCCCTTGTTCTGTAAATTCTGTCATTTTTAGACAGTCTCTTATTCTATAAAATAACTGTTTTAGTTTGAATAATAGAAAAAGATAAAAACGTAACTGTCTGACCTTGCAAGCTAGCCATCTAACGTAATGGACTAACACTGATAATGCCCATGTTCTTATGACAAATGTTTGTTCTTTATGTATCTAAGATTACAAACTGTCTGTAACAATAACTCACACAGAGCTCTTTGTAAAATCTGCAGACAAAGAAGCTCAAAGGGTATAATTACAGGAAACTTTCTGTATGACTTCACTCAGAGATTTGGAAGAAACACCTCCTTCTGGGCCCACAGGCAATAAACAATTCCTAATTAATTGGCCCATTAAAGCATCTCGTATCTCACTCGTTGATTTATGATACAACAGTATTAACATGTAACAAGAATAAGCAAACAGATAAATGCTACTCCTTTCTTGCTTTATTTCCTAATTTTCCCCCTCACTTTTTAAAAAATATGTTTTTGTTGATGTCAGAGAGAGGAAGGGAGAGAAAGGAAGAGGGAGAGAGAAAAAAAATACCATCAATGATAAGAGAGAATCAATGATTGGCTACCTCCTGCATGCTCTCTATTGAGGATTGAGCCCACAACCCAGGCATTGTGCCCTGACCATGACCTTCTGGTTCATGGGTGGACTCTCAACCACTGAGCAACACGAGCCAGGCTCCCCCATCCCTTTGCTGCCTAACCTGCAACCCCCTTCTAATAAACTCTTAGTAATAAGTTTGGGCTCTTTTTCTAGGAACCCTAGATAGAAAAAGAGGAGACACTGCTATGATATGGAGATAGGCATTAACATGCTGGATTGAAGGACATATCTGTTCATATATTCAACAGGTAAGCAAAGTCAGGTTGATGAAGGATCTCAAATATGTCAATCAATAAAATATTAGATTTTAACTGCTAGAATATGGAATGCTTACATGGAAATATAAATGATGTGATTCCATTTTGAGATTTGTGTTTTGTAATACAAGAATATGAAATGATGTATTAAAGGAGAGAAAAGAGTATTACATATGTAATACTCTTTGTAATACATTAGCAATAAAAAAATAAAAAAATAAAATAAAAAAGATGTTAAAAGTTACGTAAAAAAATAATAATAAAGGAGAGAAAATTTACAGGTTAAGTGTCTCTTACAATGATTTAATCTATCCATTAAAAAGGAAATTGAATTGGAAAGAATAATATAGCTGAAAGCAATGACACAGATTGGGGGTAGATATTTGCAAAACTTCAAGTGATAAAAGAGCTCATATCCTGAACATACATGTTAAAATGTGATTGACACAAATGATTTTTAGGGCAGATAGGCCAAAAGAAAAATAGGCAAAGGACCTGAACAGTCTCAACATAGAAAATACCCCAATAGCAATAAAGATAAGAAAAGATGTAGAACCTCATTAAGAATCAGGAAAATGCATATTAAAAGCACAATGTAATTGCCACACCCACCAGAATGGCTACAGTGGAAAAGGCTGACAACGCCAAGTTTTGATGAGGATGTGGTATAATGTGTCCTGGGCATTCCTTGTGTTCATGTCTGGTTTGAGTGCATTGGTACAATGATATGGCAGTACCCCCTTATCTGCAGGGAATATGTTCTAAGACCCCCAGTTAATCCCTGAAACCGTAGATAGTATTGACCCCTATATATACTATGTTTTTTCCTATACGTGCATACACTTACAGCTTCTCTTTGACATATATGTATTGCCAGCATCACTACTCTTACACTTTGGAGTTGTTATTAGGTAAAGTAAGGGCTACGTGAACCAAGTATGTGTTACCACATAGTCGATCTGATAACCAAGAGAGCTGCTAAATGACTAATGTGTGGGTAGCATAAGCAGTGTGGATCCATTGGACAAAGCGATGATTCATGTCCTAGGTGGGATGGAGCAGGTCAGTGCGAGAATTCATCATGTTACTCAGAATGGCAGCAATTAAAAACTTATGAGTTGTTTATTTCTGGAAATTCCCATTGAATATATTTGGGCCGTGGTTGACCATGGCTAACTGAAACTTCCTAAAGTGAAACCACAGGTAAGAAGGACTACTGTATTTGAAAGCACTTTAACATCTTCCACTCAAGTTGAAAATAAACAGCCTGTGACCCAGCAATTCTACATCTGGGTGCATGATCAAAGAAATGCATGCATATATGACCAGGAGACATGTACAATAAACTCCATGATGACATTATTAGTAATAACTACATTAGGAATATAAATATCCTAACGGTGAGCCTAAATATAACCCAAAATAATATCAACATCCAACAAACAATCTTATAAACAAAATGTTAATGACTGAGTGTTAATCAATTTGTGATTTTTCATAGAAAATATTTTTAGATACTTTGTTTCTTTATTATAAAATTACTTGCATTTCTGCCAACAACAGTTAACATATATAGCTTTTTGCAATTATCAATTGTTAAAAACAGCAACAAAAATATAAAGTCCTCAGAAATAAATGTACCAAAAATGCAAAATTTTTATTAGTGAAATTATGACATTCTACTTTAATACTATCTATTGAAAGATACTACATCAGTATTCTAAAATCCCAGAGACATGACACGGTGTTTATGGATTAGAAAATTTAATATCATAGACTTCTACATAAACATATTCTATAAATTCAATGCACTTTCAGTCAAAATTTTGAATTTTTTGGTTGTTATTTTGTTTTGTATAATAAATCTTAAAATTATGACCCCAAAACATAGAAAGAACAGCGATGGGTCAAAAAAGAGCCAAGATATGGCATCAAATGAACAAAATAAACTGAAAAACAAAATGGAACCAAAGGTATGAATACACGGTACAGACTGGCAATGTCAGAGGAAAGGGGGGAGTAGGGGCTGGATGAAAGAAGGCAAAGGGATTAGCCAAAAAACATATATGCATAACCCACAGACAAAGACAATATAGTGTGGTGATGACCAGATGGAAGGGGGGCAGGGGCTGGATGAAGGTGAGCAAAGAAATGAAAAATGGGGACACCTGTAACAGTGTCAATACTAAAAATAGTTTAAAATAAAGAAAAAGAATGTATAAAATGAGTTAAATGATATCATGAGTTATTATAAAATTATTGTAATTTAAAAGAGAGTTGTGATATTAATGTAGAAATAGAAGAATAGATAAATCAACAAATAGACCCAAACACACATGGAAACCTGATCGATGATAGAAGTAGCCCTGCAAATCAATTAAGAAAATAATTACTTTCTATGAATGGCGCTGAGACAGCTGCATAGGTGAAGTGGAGATTCTAAGTCTATAAGCTATATATAAGCTAAGTCAAAGCTATAAAAATGTTGAATAATTTTATAGTAATATACTTTTTTCTTTTTTATTGTTGATTCTATTACAGATGTCCCCCATTCCCCTCTGGGAATGTCCACTCCATCCAGCCCTCACTCCAACCTCCCCTGGATCTTCACCACATTGTTGCATATATGTTCTTTGGCTAATCTCTTCTCTTCCTTTTATCCAGTCCTCCCCACCTCCCTGCCCTCTGACATTATCAGTCTGTTCCATGTATCCATGCCTCTGGTTCTATTTTGTTCATCAGATTATTGTGTTCATTAGATTCCATGTATTAGTGAGATCATATGGTATTCATCTTTCTCTTATTTTGCTTAGAAGGAACTCTTACCATTTAGGACAGCATGAATGGACCTGGAGATAATAGTAATATAATTTTTATGAAATTGGAATATGGACAAATTTCTCAAAATATGAATAAAATTGGAATGGAAAATGTTAAACTCAACCCCATTAAATTTAACAGCATGTTTATCTAAAGACATTATAAAGAAAGTAAAATGGCAAGTTCTGATATAGAAGAAGACATTTGAAACACCTACTACTAACATAGGATCAATATCTAACATATACTAATTAATCCTTATCATGCAAATCACTAGTTGTCTCTCAAACAGAATCATTTTCTCTTCCTTCCTTAGTAAAGAACATCCAGTGTATATGAAGGAACTTGAACAACTCAAACAAAGCTACATTTTTCAGATTCCTTGCTGCTGTATGACTGATTTCTGGCCAAAGCAATGCAAACAGAACTGTAAACAACGTTCTTTAATCCCTAAAGGCAAGAGGCACACCTTCCTCTCTTCCTCCTTGGAGTCAGACTGAATGTCATCTGACAGCTAGACTTCATATATACCCTGACTCTTGAAGTGGAAGCCAGAGGCTGAAGATGGCGGATCACCAAGTAAGACAGAAGGAGCCTTGGTCCTTGGATTTACAAAGCTGTCCCACTTGCCTTGGAAACCCGCCTTTGGTCTTC